AAAAAAAAAAAAGGCACAGGAGAAAAACAGACATAGGACTCAACATGAAGGGCATCCAAGATGGGACAATTTGAGTATTAAAAAGAATATTGATAGTAATAGCTTGAGATAATTCAAGTAATATGTAAACTCATGAATTCATATTGTCATCAAAAACAAAAACCCTCATTGCTGTTAGGGCACAAATTTACTTTTATAAAAACTCATAGATGGAAATAAGCATTTATCTTGCTTTTCCTGATAAATGCATTTTGAGGGAAAACTGAATACTTGATGAAGTAAAGTTGTTCCAGCTCATAAATAGAGAAGCAATGATAGAATTTGAGCAACATCATTTTGCAACTCCTAAGGAAATAATGTATTAGACTATTGTGGTGGTTGGCAAATTACAGCCCATGGGCCACATCCAGCCCGCTATTTTTGTAAATAAAATCTTGGCTCATGCTCGTGTATCATGTACGAATGCTTTTGTGCTACAATAGATAGTTGAATAGTTGTAACAGAGACTGTATGGTCTGCAAAGCCTAAAATATTTACTATATGGTCATTTATAGAAAAAAAGTTTGCCAATTCCTAGATCAGAGCAATGATCATGAATTTTTTTTAAATTTTTTTTTTCAACGTTTATTTATTTTTGGGACAGAGAGAGACAGAGCATGAACGGGGAGGGGCAGAGAGAGAGGGAGACACAGAATCAGAAACAGGCTCCAGGCTCTGAGCCATCAGCCCAGAGCCCGACGCGGGGCTCGAACTCACGGACCGCGAGATCGTGACCTGGCTGAAGTCGGACGCTTAACCGACTGCGCCACCCAGGCGCCCCGGTCATAAATTTTATAATAGATCTTATAATGGAGAGATCAGACTGATAATGCACTTTAATCTTAGCAACACTGAAAGTGGATCAGACAGTATATGTGAAACAATGTGATTTTACTAGAATGTCTACCATAGCACATCCATGAAGTATTCTTTTTCAAAGAAAAAAAGAAAGTAAAAGCAGGCCTTCTGATCTAACTACCAGATTATAGGAGATATGGGAGAGTTAGAAACTTGTTAAATGACAAAATGAGGACTCAGTCAACCAAATTCAGAATGTGGGGCATTCAAAAGAGGCAGACTGGGAAGGGAAATGGAGTGGCTGAAAAGAGACATATCTATCAAATACAATGTGTGGACCTTATCTGAATTCTAATTCCAACAAACCACCTGTAAAATGAGATTTTTTAAAAGACAAATTGGAAATCTGAACATGGCCCTGAGTATCCAATGGTAGTAAAGACTAACCATTAACTTTTTCAGTGTGATAACGCACTTGTGGTTGTATGTGTCTTAATCTTTAATGTTAAAGAGACATACTGAAGCTTGGGACTTGCTTTAAAATATTTAAAATATCAAAAAGGGGGTGAGGACAGAAAGATAGATAAAATAAAACTAGCAAAATGTTGATAAGTATGAAAGCTGGGTGATGGATACTAGAGAGTTGAATATACTATTCTCTATTTTGGGGTATGTTTGCAATTTGCTATAATAAAAGTAGAAATTAAAAAAATAATATGGGACAAATAACAGCACATTATTTTGATAGAATCAATGTTTAATTCATTCTAAATGTTTTTGTTTTTTTTTTTTTAGATTTTATTTTTAAGTAATCTCTATACCAACATGGGGCTCAAACCCACAATCCCAGGTTCAAGAGTCACATGCTCTACCAACTGAGCTAGCCAGGTGCCCCTAAATCTGGTTTTAACATTGCTCACCCTAAACCTGTTTTAATATCTGTTTCTGCTTCCTTGACTGGCATTGTTGGTCTCTCTGAAACTTCTAACTACTGCAGCAATGACATCCAAATCTCTTACTGTATTTACCTTAATGCTGTAGAGGAGATGTTTTCTTTTCTCAACTTTACTTTCCAAGAATACCTCAATTAATAATATTCCTTGTATTTCTTTTCACAGAAGGAGAAAATACTTTCTTTTTTTTTTCAAAATTTGGCTATTGCAGACCCCCAATCTCTTATGACAAGAATTAAAGGGAAAAAAAAAATGTCATAAGTAATACACATACACACACACGCACGTGCGCACACACACACATTCTGTCTCTCTAATGATCTCATTACAGTCTGGAAGAGTTTACAGATAAAAATCAAGCATCTAATAAACTCTTTAACTCCCTGCTGCTCATGTCCACTAAAACTCCCTTTATAAAAACAAATCTTACATCTTTTATAAATACAAATCTTACACAGAATGTCTTAAGGTTATTCTTTTCAGTCATTAAGCTTCTGATATTTTATTACCTGTTTTTTTGTGTTAAATAATTGTCTATTACGTTAAGCTACCCTCTTCCCTTTCTCTTTATGAGCATTTATAAATAAAATCTTGATTTAAAATAATGTAATTTTGGGGGGCACCTGGGTAGCTCAGTCAGTTGAGAGTCTGATTCTTGATCTTAGCTCAGGTCTTGATCTCAGGGTCGTGAGATCAAGCCCTGCATTGGGCTCCTCACTGGATGTGAAACCTACTTAACAACAACAAAAAATAATGATGTAATCAGAAATTACATTACAGTTTTATCAGAAGTCAAAATTACAGACCTCTTAAGAATGTGGAAAATCACAGAGGTTGTCCTTCTATAAGAAGCAGACCCTAAATTGACCTAGCTTATGCCAAAATTAAAAGCACATTATTACTCATCTGATGGTCATAAAGGTATATTAAGATAGAAAATGGTCCATAATTATAGGGCCACAGTTCTCCATCTGGGGCCAGATCAGTTTCATAATTCAGGGTTTCTTGAATTTTAGAAAAATAATACAGCATCTAGCACCTATAACCAAAATAATATAGTGTTTAATACCCATAAGCAATATAATCATAATGCTCATAATCAAACACAACAGTATTTCTGCAGTAAAACTAATCATATTGAGTGGAATAAAGACTGTAAACTGACTCATGTCAGCTAAGATTAAGTTTTGCTACCAAAGGAGTTATAACAAACTTTTTGGATTTTAGAACTTATTGGATTTTGGAATTATAGTTAAGAGATTATAATCTTGAATTATGTAACTATATCTTCTTATTTCGGCGACTCTCAAAAGTAACATTACTTCGAAGCTAAAATATTAGATACTAAAAATATTAGATACTAAAGAAAGAGTATGTGGCGTTTTATTAGCTCAATTGGTTAACCATCTAACTCTTGATTTCAGCTCAGGTCATGATCTCATGGTTCATGGGATTGAGCCTCATATGCTGGGCTCATGCTGTCAGTACGGAGCCTGCTTGAGATTCTCTACCCCGCCCACCCCTCCGTCCTCCTGCCCCACCATTCCCCAGCTTGCTCTCTCGCTCTCTCTCTAAATAAATAAATTAATTAAATAAAAGCTTTATTAAAAATAAAAATTTAAAAAATAATAAAATAAAAAATAAAAAAATACAATTAGTTTTATTTGCCTTGGAAAGAAACAGAACAATAATAAAGGAGAGAACTTTTGCAAGTTACAGATTTGTATGCTCTGGGATGGACTTATGTCAACTAGACAACTACTCTTTTGGATACATTTATGATCCTGGTGACATTAGTGAAAAGGACAGGACAAGTAATGGACTGCATGCCCTTTCTCCTTTCATCCAAATGACTCTGCCAGGCAAGTGTCAAAGGTCTCCATGGAACAAACTTTCCTAGAAGCAATTACAGAATTAATATTTTGGCAATGGGTCATAATAAAAACAACAGGTATGTAACTTACCAACTTAAGCTTTTTCTTGCCAGAGCTCTGTACTTAAAAAAAAATTTTTTTAATGTTTATTTTTGAGAGAGAGGGAGAGACAGACAGACAGACAGACCGACCACGAGTGGGGTAAGGGCAAGAGAGAGAGGGAGACACAGAATTCGAAGCAGTCTCCAGGCTCCATGCTGTCAGCACAGAGCCTGATGCAGGGCGCGAACTCACGAACTGCGAGATCATGACCTGAGCCAAAGTTGGACATGTAACCGACATGTAACCCACCCAGGTGCCCTGAACTCTGTACTTTTTTAAAGATTATGTTTCCCATTGCTGGAACATACCATTTGGTTGACTAGATTAAATCGAACTTACCTGAAGATTCCAAGCCTGCTATTTCCCTTGGATGTGACTCTTCTGAGGACGTCCAAGTACTGGACTATCTGGCTCAGAAATGTCGTCCTTATTAGGCATTTGGAAAACAGGGCTGCTTTTGATTCTGTGCCATCCCAAATGTATGAGCCCGACTAAAGGTACCATAACAACCAGAACTTTGTAGTCTCTCCAGAAGTTCTGAAAGCTCATAGTACTTCAGCATCAGTGCACCTAAGAAAAGGCCAATAATTAAAGACAGGAACAAAACAACTCCCTCAAGTTCTATCTATGAACCACCACAAGTAAAATATTGCACTCTAATAAAAGTAGACTGTTAAAACATTTTTAGGTGTAATACAGTTTACTGTTAATTAAAAAGGATATGTTGTAGGCTCAAAGGGATAGCAGGAAGTCAGGCTTGAGAACCTTATAAAGCAATAAAACCTTTAGTCAAAGATTGTAAAGGCACCACATTACCTGCTAGAAAAGCTATATACATCTTTGGAAATGCTCACGCATAGATATCGTTTTCTTTATATAATTAACTATACTTTTTCTGAGCCGCAGTAAACTTAGATTTAAAAATAATTACATTTAGTCATTATTTTAACTGAAGAATCAAATGGTAATCCTTAAATATGTAGTAAGAACTTAGATTTTGCATTCCGACACATGTAAGTGATGGTGTTTCAATGGAGATTGGGAGAGTCATGCATAGATTCTAATTGTAGCAAACAAATTTTGGCATGGACTCTGATTTAGGATGAATTAATGCTATTTCCATTTATGTTCTGAAGCACAGGACTTTAGTGGTTGCCCTTATCACTAATAACTCTACCACACAGGGGTCTACCCAGTTTACATGGAGAAATTGGAGCTAATAACTTGCATGGATTTACAAAGCTAATTTGTGTTAAAGCAGATTTCTTTCCTGTCTTTGGTTTGTAAAGCCTGGACTGTGGCCCAGGAAATCTGTTTCTGATGATCTGTTGGCTTTGGGAACTTGAGTCTGGACAACCTTTAAAGACTTCTTAAACTTTTTTATTTAAGGGACACTCGTTAAGCTTTAGTGATTAGCTTATAGACTTGCAATAGTATGAACGGACCCACTTTCCAAGTTCCTTTCTGAGCATAGACAGACAATAAGGGCTGCTCCATCATCTGTGGGATATACTAAGAATTACGTCCAGTTGCATGTAGATGAAATTTGGTACATGCAATCTGTTACGTTATAATAATTTTGTATGAATGCCATTAGAAAAATATCTCAACAAAACTTACTTCTTTCCAAATCAAGATTAAAATATACTGCTGGGGTGCCTGCGTGGCTCAGTCAGTTAAGTGTCTGATTCTTGATTTTGGCTCAGGTCATGATCTTCTGGTTCGCAGGATCGAACCCTGTGTCAAGCTCTGCATTCACCGAGTGGAGTCTGCTCTCATTCCCTCTCCCTTTCTCTCTGCCCCTCCCCTCCCCTGCTCGCATGCACACACTCTCTCTCTCTCTCAAAAATAAATGAACGTTAAAAAAAAATACAGCTAGTGAGGTGAACAACTGCCTCAGTGTTCTGGGTATATTAAAAATAAACAGCTCAGAGTTATGCCTATGTACATATATCATTTCCAGCATTAGAAACCATTTCTCTCAGTGTCCAAATTCACATTATATAAGGACTTTGTTGCAAAACTTAAACTACTAGAAAAAAACAATGGCCTAGTTGGCTTTCTGTGGCCTTTTCCTGTTCTAACGTGCTCTTGTATCCTATACACTTTCTGCAAACCTTTAGGGACCATACTTTTATTGACATATTTATGTTCTATCTTTGGAGAAAGCCTATTACAATTAATTGTATCATTAAATTTCATTGTGAAGCCCACTATACAAAATGCTTTTGAGATTTGAGGATACAATAAAACACAGTGGTCTGGAATAGTGAGGGAAGAACTATAGCAAGGATTACGTCGTAGAGGGACAGAAGCTGCACCAAAGTTACCTGGCTTGTGTTGCGTGATGTGATATTTTTGTCCACAAAATACCTTCAATTAAAGGGTTAGAAGATAACATCATTCATATCTAGTTTCATCAGTACTTACGGTGATTCTAACACCTCTGAACTCTCAACATGAGGTTATCAATTCACATTACTTTTTTTAAAAAAAAAATTTAATGTTTATTTTTGAGAGAGAGAGAGAGAGAGAGACAGAGTGCAAGCTGGGAGGGGCAGAGAGAGAGGGAGACACAGATTCCGAAGCAGGCTCCAGGCTCTGAGCTGTCAGCACAGAGCCAGACGCCAGGCTTGAACTCATGAACTGTGAGATCATGACCTGAGCTAAAGTCGGACGCTTAACCGACTGAGCCACCCAGGTGCCCCAAGTCACATTACTTTTGATGGATGGCATTTCTTCTATGCAGTTTACTTCTCCATGATCTCTAATATAATTCAATATTTGTCAGCTCTTTTCCTGAATTATAAACTTTTAGGGAAATAGTTTATAGAAAATAGAGTTGTCTGCATAAAAGAATATAATAATAAAGTTGGGGTGAAGAACTCAATAACTAAAATTAAGAATAAATTAAACTACGATCTGTAACAGCAATGTTTGGGCAAGTGTTGTACAGAAGAGCCTCTCCATGTAAAACACAGTATGTGATGTGATGTACTGTGAACCTTCTTTGAGAAGAATCTTGGATTAACATCAAGTTAGCTTACACTTAATGAATCTTTGGTCATCCATGGGTTAAGGACAAAGGAGGCACTCCATTTTATTTACTCTGTGTTGAACGGTCTATTATTTGTTTCCATTAGGATAATTTAAGGATCTATGCATCTTTTTATACATTTAGGTTGAGTTAAATCTGGGAATTATTATTTTTTTGGTTGAAAACTCATCATTGGTCAATATCACTGAGTCCCAGTAACAGACTTCCTGGCTAGTAAATGATGTAGACTGATCTAATTAGTTGCTTCTGTTTATGCAACACCTACATGCCCCCATTTCCTCAAATTCTCCATATGTCATATGTTGATTTGGGTAATGGGAGTGAGAGGCTGGTAACTATTTTCCAATGATTATTCTGTTGTATTCTGAGAGGTCTGGAAATCGGTCAGGATCAGAGAGGGCTTTTTACTTTATAAAACGCTTTTATTAGAGTTTTCACATTTAATTCACCTAAAAACACTACCACACTGTGTACATAACTGTCCATCTCCACCAAGCCTGATGGAACTGGCACTCTTTTAAAATGGTACAGGTAACTTTAACCTCCTTCATTTTTTTTTTTTCCATTTAATAGGTTTTCAGCACACTACATGTCTCCAATAGGCTGAAAAACCAACTTCCCAGGACAAAACACATTAAACTTTACTAACGAAGGCTCATTGTTAGTTTTAAGAAAAAGACAACACAGTTTTGAAATTTGATGTTAGATGTGATAGTGAGGTAATGCATTCCTTATTTTGTTCATATCTTCTTGTGGAGGTTTAAAATATAATCAAACATATTTTGGGGGTATAGTTTTAACATTTTTTTTCCTCAATTCTTCTGTGGGATTTTTTTCAAAATGAAAATTAGCATAACTGCCCATTTCTAATAAATATAATATAGGCTTGCTTTTTAATAAAGTTAGAAAATATAGAAATAAGGAAAAGAAAACTAAAAATGTCTGTTCTCTTTGCAGTTTAAACAAAAATGTGATGACGATTTACATGCTGTTTTATAATCTTTTCTTCCCCCAAGAATATAAATCTTCATTATCATTTTTGATAGCTTTATAATATTCGATTGTATGGAAACATGCTAATTTGATAGATCTCTGATTGATAGAAATTTGAGATTTGTTTCAATGTTAAATTTATTCCTAATTACGCTATGGCAACAAATATTCCTTTTTATTTTAGAGAGGGAGAGAGAGAGTGTGCGAGCCAGGGAGAGCAGCGGAGGGAGAGAGAGAGAATCTTAAGCAAGCTCCACGCTCAGCACTGAAGTGGACACTGGACTCAGTCCCACAACCCTGGGATCATGACCTGAGCCAACATAAAGAGTCAGACGCTCAACCAACTGAGCCACCCAAGTACCTCTGGCAACAGATATTCTTGTAAATATTCCAGAGTCCTTGTTTACAGTTCCTATAATATGCTGCTTCTCAGGACAGTGTGAAGAATTACCAGATGTCTTCATTAATTCATTTTTCAAATGAACTTACGAGGTTTTCTAAAACTCTTGACTTTTACAAAGGTTCATGATGTTGAGCAGCGGGGATATTGAGATTCAATTTGGGAAGTGGGAAATTAAGCTATATGCAATTTATCTCATGATGGTCCTTCCCTCAAAACACTTGTCAAGTCATTCCAAGTGAGATGGAACTATTTTACTGACACCAGAGATATCTGAGTCTGAAACAAAACAAGAATGTGCTCAAAATGATCAGGTTTGATGATCAGTAACAGGCTGATCCCTAAAAATAACTAGTCCTTGCTGTTTATTCATTGAGCTTTTCAAGTTTGCTTGGACTAAAGCAGCAACAGAAATGAGAACACAGTGATTTTTCCTCCTTGCTACCCCTGTTTGGTGTACTTGCAACTGCCTTTTTCTTATCTTTTCTGAATCTTTTTTTAATGCACTGATAAACAAAAAAGGTACAGGGCTCTTGGAAATATGAGAGAAGGTAAGAGAAGTAAAATTACCAAGTTTTAGCTCAACTAAAATAGCATTTAGAGTTTTACTCATTGAAATGCTTTAAGTTTAAAATACACTTAGAAAAAAAAAAAAATAAAATACACTTAGAGGCAATCTTCCCACAGATTATGCTTTCATATAGTCTTCTTTCAAAAATATATACTTTGCATTATTACAAAGGTTTTGTAATTTTTATCTCATTTTGTTTTCATAGCAGTTTTATGAGGCCACTTTATGAGGAAACACTAAATGACTGATTTCCAAGATTACTGATAGTGAATTGTGGCACTCAACTTAGATTTTGGAGTTGGTCTGGTAGTCTTGGCTGGTAGTCTATAAAGCTGTTTTCAAAAGTCAAGACTTAGTGACCCAGCTCTGGCAGTAGAGTTAATCAGAATTTCCTGTGCAGGATGATGGATGAGAAGAACATTCTGAGTGAATCATGCATACTTGAGAGTCACCAAGGTCAACTATCCTAATGCGTTAAGCCTGGCATGTTTTTCTGATTCTCATGTCAGGTATGTAAAGGGTTAACAGTAGTCTTGTGCCAAATCGTC